ATATATATATATATATATATATATATATATATATATATATATATATATATATATATATATATATATATATATATATATATATATATATATATATATATACACACACACACACACACACACACAAAATATTTGTGCCTCTGTCTTCTGTTAGTCTTTGAAATAAAAATCTTTTCATTCCAAAATTATCGAAAGACAATGTTTTGACCTATTCAGAAACATGTTTCCATTTTTCTTTTTCAAAATGAGCGCCCCGAGCGAGATTAGCCAGCTCTCTGCAGGAAGAGAAGGCTGGGCGCTGTCTGCACCCCATTCAGCCAGGCTGAGCTCCCTTATCCTCTCAGACCCCTACCCCCTCGGACCCAGCACCACGCTGAGAAGAGCCCCTCTGGCCCATTGCCATACTCTTCCCCTCCCCCCCCCACCACAGAGCAGTGCTTGGGGCTGGCAGTGCAGAATTCCCTCACTAGAGGAGCCACCAACCCACCTCCCCACAGCATTGCCAGGCTGCTCAGCACAACCAGCCAGCATGCACAGCCCCCCGCAGACCAGGTCTGGGGATTGCCATCAGGAGGCATGTGTGGCATCCCCCAACCAGGGTAAATCTTCTAGTATGTAATAAATACAGACAAAGGGTCTTAAACATAAGTGTTTTCACCTAAAAAGCTCCAAACAGTATATCCATCTCCATTATTCTTCTGATGACAGATGGTGAGAATCAGACTCCTAAAAACCTAAACTAATAATCACACTACACCAATGTCAGAAAGCTACAGTACTATACCGCCCTGCTGGGCACTTTTGAATACACAAATGTCATTATATTTATTGGGTCTGTGAACATCACAGTAACTCCCTCCCCATACCTCCTGCCTTGTGTACAGTTTTCTTTCAGTATCTAAAATATACTTCACTCAGCTGGCGGCAAGCATAGGGTTCACTCCCTATATTACTTATTTTAGCAAGGGACACTGACACTAACACTGGATTCCCTAAAACCAGGATAGAAACCCTGGTTGGAGCTCCCTAAAATGGTAAGAATCAGCTAAATCGTTTATCCCCAGCTAAAGTAAGAGTCTTACCTTGCTTCTGCTGACATTAATGCAAATTTTATAATTGACTTCCATGGGAACAGGACTAGTACTCGATTACCCTCTTAGAAGCAATACAGGTTGCTCAACCAGTCTGAACCTACTGACACTTTTAAAGCAGCTGTGATATTGTACACAATCTCCTGACACACACCATAGTTTTCTATAAAAGTCTCATAGTTTTGGTTTCAGAGGATATATAAGAGGTACCAGTGCTTTATCACAACAGATCCCCAATCTATACATCAGACAGGGCTAGGATCTGGTCGCTGAACTCTAATTGTTGAGTTGAGATTAAATTTCAAAGACGATGGGACAAAACAGAAGATATTTACAGTACAATCAAAGCCCAGAGGAAAAAAGGGAACACAAAGTCTTCACCTTATCTCTGCAGATCGCTAAATCAGAGAATATAAAGAAAAGGAGCTGAGCAAGTTTCCGTTGTTTGTTCCAAGTTAGCAATGCTCTACCTATGCCCCAAATAAATAATCCTAACAGGATATAGGGTGTTGCTCAATCATTTCCCTTTAAATCTGAGAAGGATTGGAACAACTGGAAAACAATGACAAACATATTAAAGCCTTTAAATCATGACAGATACAAGGTCTAACATCTCTCACAAGCATCACCTGATGACTCTCCCAGTTTTAAAAAGTGTTGACATACAAAAAGTATATATATGTTAGTTTTAATTAAATTAAATCATGAGATGGAATCTACCGCCCTCTCCTGGTAAATAAACAAATTGTATACAGACATCTCTCTCTCTCTCTCTCTCTCTCTCTCTTAGCAAGTACAGGGTTGTTCTAAGACTTCTACAAAAGTTTTTTTTCAGTATGAAATGCATCTAAAGTTTAGATAGGTGCAATTGGAAACACAACTAAATAAACAAGCTATGAATTCTCAGTGTGTCTATGGTTTTTCTAGAAACTGGTGCTGCAACAGAAAGAAAGGGGATTTTCGTTTTCCTGTAAAGTTGATAAATTAACTCATAAAATGGAAGTAAGTTATAGTAAACTAGAATACTTCTCCAGCATTAAATCTCCTTAAGTCAAAATAAAGTTTGTTGTTCATTTAAATCATTATTCTATGGCGGGGATAGGAATGAGCGGTTAAGTATGCAGGCTACCCTGGGGAGAGAGGACAACCCCAGTGCTCTCTCAGGGCAGCAGCTTGGGGCCAGATGAGAAATTCCTGCCCATGGCTGCTGCAGGGGGCACAGCTGGGGCAGGGGTACAAGTGCCCTGGTTGGGGGCCAGACAGACATACACACACAAACAGACAAACTCTCTGAAATATATAATAGATAGCCATAGTCGTGCACAGCACATTTCATTAGGGTGTTCAACCAGGGAATTTTTTTTTTTTTAAAGGTGAACATTTATTGAATACTCAATCATAAAGGACATTATTTATTCATCAAACAAACTAAAGAAACAAAAACTTAACTAAACTTAATTTTTTTTAAATGAACAACTAAACTTTACTTAAAAAAATACAAACTTAAGTATGGGACATTGTACTACTTAGTTTGTTTTTTACATGTGCAATTCGGCACTTATTGCATAATACAGCAATCCATATTTTAAAACTAAAAGAGCATATCGTGCGATTAAATTAAAACGCAAAGCCACTTTTTTTTTTTTAGACATTAGGGTATGTCTGCGCACACCCAGCACACCCCCTGCACACGCCTATGATGGTAGGTGAGAGACTGAGGACTGCTGAAGCCCCCGGAAGGAGTGGGAGTGAGAAACCAGTGTGGTGGGCACTGCTGGAGGAGAGTCTCCTGAAGAGGCTGGCCA